AAAAACTTTGTTCATACAGATCTTGTAAATATTCCATATCTTTCTGTGTTTTTGGTACATAATCTCTCCAGCATTTATTTTTTAGCTGATAGTATCATTTTTTTATACATTGCTTTTTGTTGTGAGTATATAATGTAAAATTTATCTTTCAGTTCTTGAAGGGAGGCTTTTTTCATTTTCCTATAGAATGCTCTTGTTTTGTTTGTCTGTATCCTTAATTCTTTAGTCCACCAGTTTAAGTTAATTATACAGTCAAAAGTCGTTAATTCGGACACCTATAATCCGGAATGATCTATTTGACGCATGCGCGTAAGACCTTTACGGCTGCGAATATGCGTGTGCGCATGCGCATAGTACGTTTATGCATGCGCGTTTAATGTGTAACAGACGGTATAAGCTAAGCTAAAATTATCCAATTCAGTTAATGTTGCAGATTGCGTTGTTCCTTAATCTTCGAATTGGATCCGGCTTATTATTTTTTGCAGACTGTTAGAGCAATTTTTATAAAAGTAAACTTGAACTTTCGATTATGTCAAATAGAATTTCCCATATATATTTACTAATATGTAAAAGATCTACAAAGTGAAAGTATGTTTCGAAGTCCATTAAACAAAAAGTGGAATTGCTGCAAAAAATGGATAAAGGCATATACTTTTTATCTAACCATTCCAAAATCTGTTTATCAATTTCACACTGCTCTGCGGCGGAGGGGGGGGGGAATGCCGCTGTGCGCAATGAATTGGAAGTTGATCTGTCAGCACTATCCTTATCTTCAGGGCAGACGTTTTTATTTTATTTGGCTTGTAATTCCTTACTAAATGTAGTATTTGATCTCGATGTACTCCGTCTTTGATATGATTTAAATCAAATTCCTCATCATTATAATTCGCTTCCAATAGTGAAGAAAGTGTCATAGTGGTTATTGAAAACGAAAAAATTTCGATTGACAAATTAGTCAGTATTCTCGACACAGGAATTATAGGACTTGAACAGCGGAACTTTGTAACTGAACAAGAAATTATGTCTGTTTATAGAATTAAAGAGAAAGTATTATCACATAAAACAAAGCATAAACAACTTACATTGAAAGAAATTTTAATAAAGTAAACAAATAAATATTAAGCTTTTTTTTTTTTTTTTTTTTTTTTTGTAAATTTTGATACCCTTTAGATCATAATTCCTCTTTATTTCATAAATTACGGTTTCATATTTTTAATTTTATAATTTCTGCATGCCATCTTACCAGATTTAAACTGATGATCTATAATCCGGAAAAATCGATAATCCGGAATCGCCCGAGGAGTCCGGATTAATGACTTTTGACTGTAATAAGAAAGAAAAATGAAACAAATGTTAATTCTAAGGATTTCCATTCTTCCTAATAAAGTAGGTACATGATACAATTATATTTTTAAGTAGCTGGTGATTTTTTCTTGGGAAAATGTTTGTTGCTACTCATTAAACATTTCATGGTAAAGAGCACAGAGTTTTCCAATACCTCTCATAAAGTATCTTCTTTCTTCATTTGAGTCAGTGTTACATAAAAAAAAACCATGCAGTTCCTGTGCCTTTTTTAATGATTCATTAAGTTATGTTAACGACTCTTTATCTTCTTCACTATCACTGCTTTTATTCTCTGCTAAGATCGTAAGAATTTTTCATTTTTATTCTTTGATTTCTCCTTTTCCCGTATCTGAAAATCCTTTAGAATCCCTTAAAATTTTTGACTACTTCTGGCCAGAGTTGATGCCAGTAACCATTCGCTGTTGATGAATTCACTTGTTCCCATGCAGTTTAATCATTTCTATGCAGCTTATTATGTTGAATTGCTTTCAAAATGCTGTTAGCGTGTTGTGCTTCCCTTCATCTAATACTACTTTATTTCCAGAGATGTAAGCATGCTTGACATAATAGGCTTTGAATGTTTTTATGGTTCCTTATCCATTGATTGGATTAAGGAAGTGGTGTTCACTGGAAGAAATAAAACCTTTACATTTTGTTGCATTGTTGTGATAACCTCAGAACTGTATCCTGGAGCATCAAGAAACAGGAGACTGTAAAGTTCAGGTTTTGCTGTTCTAAGCAATGTTTCACTTTTTTTGATGAATGAAAACCAGTCATTAAAGAGAACTGTTGCAATGTGGCCGATGCTCTGCAGCGTACCATGTGTAATTGAAATTCTTGTTGGATAAATTAAATAGAGCTAGTTAAAATAATGCATATGCACAAAACCACATTCAGCAAGGGCTTACTGTATTCAAGTTATATTTTTGTTTTCACGTTTAAGTGCATCTTACCATGGTATAAGCACCCACCTACCATATAAGCTCCATACCTTATCAGAATGATCAAGCACCATTATTGATTTTTTGTATTTCTGACCGTAAAGCATGAGTATAACAATAAAATGAAATAAATCTTTAAAAAAAGTAAAATAATGGGTACATTCTGATTATCTGCACCTTTGTCAAAAAGTTGCAAAAAAGTATTTGAGGTAAAGCAGCATGTCACCAAAATAATTATATGGCAACATTTCCCCCCCCCCTTCCTATTGGCAGACATTTAACTGACTTTAGCCACCAGTTAAGGCTGGACGTGGTGGTCACTTTATCGTGGAAGCCCCTAATAGGTGGCCATCATTATCTCTTATCAAGAGACAGACAATTGCAGCCATGCCTTCTCCAGAATTTTAACGCAGGCCCTTCAGTATTGCAGTAGGCTCCTCTTAACTACTATACTGTCTGGGTAGCTTATATGGGAACACATATCATAAAAATGTATTTGGTACTGTTTTTGTTATCATGACCACATCCAGAAATGTATGTACGTATGCATGGATACATGTGTTCATGTATTCACACACACATATATATATATAATAATATTAGTAGGTAGAAACATTGCAGCGATCTTGCTAAAAAGTTACCAGGAGCTGTAGCTCCACGAAATATTTCAACGCTGTATTACTAAATATAAACTAAGAAGAAAATTTTTGTCTGGAAAAACTGGAAAAAACTGAAAACATGCAAAAAAAAAAAAAAAAAAACTTTCAAAATTAATGTTGGAAGACATGCTAATGCACGAAAAAATTAAACTGATCGTTGTGATATGTGAAAAGTTAACACACATAAAAAATAGATTGACAGAAAAATATATATATATATATCTATATATATATATATATATATATAATTACAAAACAATTTTTTTTTAAAAAACAAAACATAAACATGCCTGGTCTTTTGCGCATTAATTTGCAGAAAGATTATCAGTAAAGACATAAAGTAAGAAATTTAGAACTAATTTTTCACAAAAACCAAAAATTGAAATTCATAATTAATAAATTTCAAATAATCCTATAAATGCAATAATGAATTAAAAAAAATGTTAAACCAAAGCTTTAATGAATTTAAAAAATGTTAAAACCAAAACTTTCCAAACAAGTAATACCCCAATTCAAAAAGTTAATGAAATTTAAAGAAAAATGAATAAAGTAGAAGAGGAATTCAGTCAACTTCAGTGCCACTTTGTCTGGAGGAGGAACACTGAAATCAACTGAAATCTCTCTTCCACAAAAATCCTGACTTTTCTGTGTCCAGAATAAGCCGATAAACCATTTCAATGTATTTTAATTATAATAGTTAATCCAAAAATTCTGGCCCCCTTCCCAAAGCAAGAAAAAACAAAATAAATTCTAATTAGAAATATATATATATATAAGCACGAATGTATGTGTGTATTTATATGAACATTTATGCATTTCTAAATCCAGACCCGACAACAGAACAGTGCCAAGTATCTATGTAGCAATCTAGGTGTGCTCATAACACATTTCTGGTTTTGCCTAGCAGAATGCTGAATTTGTGTTGTGTAATTTTTTGATATTTTTTTTAACCAAAAGCAGATTGGTTTGTATACGAACAGAATAAGAATACAAAAAAGAAGGATTTCTCAAAAAAAGTATTTTTTAAAATTAATCAGTGTTTTTTGCTCTTTAAATTTTGTTGATTAATTGCTATTATATGGAATTCTTTGTCTGCAGATATTTTGAAAATGGCTGTTGCTTTTTATGCATGAACTTCGTGAAAAATTAGCTGGAATAAGTTCATGACTTTGTGGCAAGAGTGCATATAATCAGAATGTGCCATATAATGTTTATAGTATTTATTAAAACATATTCATAATCTTAGGTTATCTGACCAACCCTCCCACAAAGTTGGCAATCATTGATGATGGATTTTTTTGCTGACATTAGATGTGAAAAGAGTAGCCATTTAAAAAAAAAAAAAAAAAAAGCACTACAGTGAAGCAGTGAATTGACAGGGGAAAAAAAAAAATGCAAAAAACACCCAGAATAAGACACTTAACTTTCTATTTTTTTGATTTTCTGTCTGTTACAGCAGTCTGTTTCTTCATATTGCAGGACATCCTGGCACTGCTCTCCATGTACATGTCAACTTGTTAAAACAATTTAGAGAATTGCAGAAATTAACTTTATGGATTGCACATGCAGCACTTCCTTTTTCATTAGCAGGCACACAATAGCATTAGGATTTGCTATAAGACAAAAAAACTCCACATGCTAACAACCTTCTAATTTCAAAACTGCATAAAGCATATAAAACCTTCACTTCACATACAGATATTGACATTATGTGTTGTAAAATTCTGAATTGCTTATTTTGGAGACATAGTACTCTGCTCAGAGATTCTTGTCAAGGTTGGTGGGTAATGTGATAGTATCAATTTATTTTCTATGTTTTAATGATTTTTCTGATGCATCTACAAATAAAACATAAATTGGTACTTTCTGATCATTACCACCCCATCAAAAAGTAACGGATAAGTATTCATCAGGCAGGCAAAGCAGTATGTCTCCAAAACAAATATATAATAAAATAGTTAAGTGCCAACTTAAATGTCACCAAAAGTTATTTATGTAATAATGCAAGTATCCATGTATGATGTCATGGCATAAAACATGTCTGTTTTTGTTTTCGCCAGTTGGCAATATGGAAGCTGTATGAGGCCAAGTTTGTGCAATTCTCTGATATTTTTTTAAGCAAAAACATATTGCTGTATATACAAAGACAGCAACAATGTAAAAAATAAGGATTTCTTGGAAAAGGTTAGTGTTTAATTGCTGATGTTTCTTAAGTTTTTAAATTTTATTGATTGATTGCTTTTGTTTGGAATTTATAATTCACAACCTTTGTACATTGTTGCTTTTTGTACATTAGCTTGGTGAAAGGTTAGTCATCAGTTAGTTGTTGAATGTTCTCCAAAGCCTGTAACATATCATGTCTTTTTAATATGGATGCGGATAATCAAGAAAGAATTCATGAAGATAATCAAAAAGAAATCATTCTCCCAGTTCACCAAATTCTCTTTTTTTAATTAGTTTTGTATTCCCCCTCTTTTGGACTTTCATTTGGGACAAGAAGTGAGGAAACAGAAATGATATTTAAACATGCCCACCGGCTTTTAAATGATGACTATGAAAATACATATAAACCACTTTGAGAAAAAAATATTTTCTTTTGTTCTGTTCTGAATAAATATAATAATAAGTGTTCTAAGGGTCTCTTTTAAAACACATTTTCTCTTGTGGTCTGCAGAAGCAGATTTTTAAAATACTTAAAAATGACCACATATTTTCTTCGACAGTGCCCCAATCATCAATCAATTAATGGACCGCGAAATCTGTAGCGTGGTTCTAGATCCAGAAAATACAGTCAACAGTCTTTAATCCGGACTCGTCGGGACTTCGGCGATTCCGGATTATCGATTTTTCTGGATTATAGATCATCAGTTTAAATCTGGTAAGAGATGGCATGCAGAAATTATAAAATTAAAAATATGAAACCTTAATTTATAAAATAATGAGCAATTATGATCTAAAGAGTATCAAAATTTACAAAAAAAGAAGCTTAATATTTATTTGTTTACTTTATTAAACATTTCTTTCAACGCGCGCACGCGTAAAGCATACGTTACGCATAGCCGAAATTAGAAAATTGCAACCAGAAAACTATTTGATTTGTATTCGTGATATTTATAATGACGAGGAATTTGATTTAAATCATATCAAAGACAGAGTACATCGAGATGAAATACAACATTTAGTAAGGAATTATAAGCCGAATAAAATAAAAACATCTGCCCTGAAGATAAGAATAGTGCTGACAGATCAACTTCCAGTTCATTGCGTGCCGCGACGTTCCCTCCCCGCGCAGAGCAGTGTGAAATTGATAAACAGATTTCGGAACGGTTAGATAAACAAAGGATATGCCTTTATCCATTTTTTGTAGCAATTCCACTTTTTGTTTGATGGACATTGAAACATACTTTCGTTTTCTAGATCCTTTGGGAGCTCCAGCATCGGAAATTCTATTTGACATAATCGAAAGTTCAAGCTTACTTCTATAAAATTGCTCTTACAGTCTGCAAAAAATAATAAGCCGGATCCAATTCGAAGATTAAGGAACAACGCAATCATCAACATTAACTGAAATGGATAATTAGATAATTTTAGCTTATGCCGTCCGTTATACATTAAACGTGTACGCGAAAACGTATTCTGCGCTTGCGCAGACGCATATGCGCAGTCGTAAAAGTCTTGCGCGCACGCGTAAACGCCTATGCGCATGTGTCAACGCGGCGCATGCGCAGAAAGATTTTAGCTTTGAGGTCCGGATTATGGGTGTCCGAATTAACGACTTTTGACTGTACCACTTCCGATAGTGAAGAAGGTGACACAGAGGTTAATAAAAACAAAGAAATTTCGATTGACAAGTTAATCGGTATTCTCGACACAACAATTGCAGGACTTGAACAGTGGAACTTTGTAACTGAACAAGAAATTATGTCTGTTTATAGAATGAAAGAGAAAGTATTAGCACAAAAGCCGATGCAACTTAAACAACTTACTTTGAAAGAAATGTTTAATAAAGTAAACAAATAAATATTAAGCTTTTTTTTTTTTTTTTTTTTTGTAAATTTTGATACCCTTTAGATCATAATCGCTCTTTATTTCATAAATTACGGCTTCATACTTTTAATTGTATAATTTCTGCTTGCCATCTTACCAGATTTAATTTGATGATCTATAATCCGGAATCGCCGAAGTCCTGATGAGTCCAGATTACAGACTTTGTACTGTATATGGAATATTATTAATTTGTGATTTTATGTAAATGTGCAAAATCAAAATGGTACTTATATATTAGTGCAACCACCTTGGCAGAAGTTGAATATGTTTTTACAGAAGCTCAAGAATGATGTTTTATAATTGCAAAAAATAGTATTGTTGCATATTTATTTTACGATTTAGCTGGATATCTGCCTTTAAAATTACTTAATAAACTTGCTCAGACATGAGTGTTTGTTTCTTTTGTGGTCAAAGTACTTGTTTCCTTTAAGCAATTTTGCGACAAATACTGGATTCCTGCAGAATTGTTGCTGCAGTTTTTTCCACTGCAGGCCAGTTTCACTAGTGCATATTTTAAAACTGAGTTTAAGGCAAAAAATATCACAATTGTGTATAAAAGCCTTTTGAATTCAATAAAAAGAACACATAAGCAATGGAAACAATGCTTGCTAGAACTGCAGAACTTTTACTGTCTTGGTTGTTAAAGTTTGGGGCATTTTCATTATTTGGCATCTTCTACTAATGTGGTTGTACTAATATTTAAGTGCCATGAAAATTTATTATTGCATAATATATTCTATCTGAATAATTTCAATTAAAAGTAAGCTTATTATACTTTACTTCTATAGTTGTCTGTATCTATCTACATGATACTTTATGTAATATCTCTGGATGCATTTTGCAGATGAAATAGACAGTTACATGTATCAGAGTGTTGGACATAATGTTTTAGAGTTATATGCTTCGGCCATGGGTCTGCCATTGTTTCGTGAAAGCATTAGAGGAAAAGCCATAAATCAAAATTTTGATTATCATCCTACTGAAGGCGATGAAGTAGAAGATTTATATAATTTGCTTCTTAAAGTGAAGGTATTAAATCCTTTATTTGATAATGGTTTTTTAAAAATTATTTGTCAAAAGCTAAATGCACAGGTTGAGATATAACTGTACATTTATATATTGTACTGTAAACCTTTAATATGAAATAGTTTCAGAATTTAATGATTTTGTTTTGTATTGAACTATTTTCCCTTTCATTCAGTGTATGAACAAAATTGTGTTGCATGGTTATTCATTTTATTAATTCCTTTAAAAAAATTTACTCAAATGTATTTGCAAGTCACTTTTTAATTATAATTTTAAGAAAAATTTTAATGTTTTCACAGAAATACCTATAATGTGCAAAAATTTAGAGAGAAGAGAAAAACAAAGAAAATTAGGTACTTGCATATTATCACAACCAATTTAGTAGGATCACCAAATTTTCAAAATGTGCTAAATTTGGCAACCATGCCAAATAGCCATTCTTTAGATGACCATGCCTATTGCTTATCAAGATTCTTCAGCCAAGCAGTGTTGCCATTTTCATATGCATTGTTTTTGTCGTATTCCATGTTTGAATGGCCCACCAGCGGTCGAACAGTAAAATTGCTGAACACTGGGAATTCAATTTCCCATTGATTGGACTGGCTGCATGGACATTTTCATGGTTTTCTCCATGTGTAAAATGAGCCAGTTTTCCCTAGAAAGTCTTTCGCAAAGGCATCCCTTTCCCTTAGGCAGATAGCCCTTAAATGCTCTGCCACAACTAAACCAAACCAAACCAAACCATGTTTGAATGGTTTTTATAGACAGAAGGTAATATGTTTTGCCGTAACTCGATTTTAAAATATTCACTTGTGGAATTTGTCAGGAGTGAGAGAAATTAGTGCAACATTTTTGAAGGAATGCAATATTTTTCAGAAAATCACCAAAGGGAATGATGATGAAGTGAGTTAGTTGATAACCAGTGCAGAATGCCAAGTTTGTGCAATTTTCTGATGTTTTTCTTGTTAAAAAAGAATATGATACATGGGAAGAACAGAACTAAAAAATTACTGAAATATTTTGTGTGAAATGTGTTTCATTTTTTAAATCTATTATTGTAATCCATGTTTAATAATCAAAATTTATATTTTAGTACAAAATTTAATTTTTAAGTGTGTTTTCTTTTAATAGGTTGATAATGTTTTCAGACTTATAATAAGTATTAATTGTTTGACAGGCTTTAAAAAAAAATGGGAAAATCACTATTTTGCACATGAGAAGTAATTTCTACCTCTTCATCTGTAAAAGTAGCCAAATTGGGCCAAGATAGTTGTATTAATACAAAAGTACTGAAAATTGTTAATATTAACAAAAGGTTTTTGTTACATATGCTCTCTGTCCAAAAAGTTCTGAAACTCACTAGAGGAAACATGGAATGAAGATTTTAATACTTCAGATGTTCAACATAGTCTCCCTTCACTCGAGTACAACATACAGAACATTCATACAACCATATAACTGTCAGAAATGTCCTTGTTTGAAATGTTTATTCGACTTGCTTGTCATTGTGGCTTGAATGTAGGTTATGTTCTGATCTTTCATAATAAAAATAAAAAAAAAATTCAAAGCAACAAATTGGGTAAATATAGTGGGTGATTAAAAACTGGCCATTTTCATTTCATTATTTGCATGACCACTACTCCAAGCATGCGAGAGTGGGTGCATTGTCGTGCAGCAAGAAGAAATCTCTTGCCATCCATCGTTCTGGATGAACCTGTTAAATCCTCTTGCATAACCAATCCATGGCATCTGTGAATTGCATTCTCAGTTTTATTCCAGTTATATTTCTGGAACAAAGTCTGTGTTAGAACTTTTTGGACAGACTACATAATATTGTTATTGTTTGTTATATCCAAGTGAGCCGTGAAGAATCAAGATTAGGAAAAATAAATTCATTTGTTATTAATCATAAAAAAAAATTGGCACTATTTGTTGTAGAGTGAACTCATTGGCTAACTCCGTTAACTAATACATAGGAATTCTACATTTTTCTCTGGATCTTTTAGTTGTCCTAATCTACATAGACACCTTGTTTCTAATCCACATATGCACCTTATTCCTAATCCATATAGATATGAAAATTTAAAATATATATGACCTGTCCTGGATTCAGAATATGGTTTGTTGGCATGGAGCTTTCACTAACCACTGTACTGACTAAATAATTGTTGCATGTGTCCTTTTTAAGAAATATATTCTACTGTATACCTCCTTCCCGAAAAGAAGCTATTTCTGTAAATCCTAGTTAAACTTCTATTTTTTTCCCTTCCTAAGCATATTATTGTAATTTGTATCAATGTTTTTAATTTGAATGGTTTCATGATTCAGATTTATTAGTATAAAGTATTACTTGATGCTTTTTAAAATGGAAAGGAATATAATTATCCTAAATTTGGTTTTTATCAAGACTGGTTTAAACTTTTTGTGTATTCATGCTATTATCTTTAATTATATAAAATTTATTTGCTATCAATATTTAAATTTTAAAACTTCAGTCCTTATAGTCCAGAAATTAAGCCTACATTTTTATTTCCCACCCCCAAATTTTATTTTTGCAACAATCTGAGTTTTGTGTCATTTAGGTTCAAGGATTATATAAAATTTGAAAAATAATTTAGTCAGAATAAAGCCACTTATACACTGGTATGCAAAATTTAAGGAGGAAGCATTTTTTCAAATGTAACATCATACAGAAGTATTTCACATTGACCCAAATCACACCATAAGATAATGCAAGAAGTGAAAGTATAAGACAAGTGGACAAAACCATTCAGACAAAGAATCAAAGGGCTCTTTATTGAAAATGTAGCTCTCACAACAACTAGAGAAAAGACAGAAATGTCCATGCGAGAGGCACCTGGCAAGAAAAATCCATTCTTTAGAGGAGGATATGATCATTCTTGATTGTGATGCAGGAATTACAACATTTGTCCCATGCTGAGGACAAAGCACATGTTCTTCGGGATTTAGCTCCAAGAACCTTGCAGGCCTACCCATGCACTGAATATCATCATTTGCTAAAACTCTACAATTGCTAGTGTATGATGAGTGTTAGTATTGTAATTCATGAAGAGGAACTTCAGACCCACAACACAGATGCATATGAGGCTAGAGAACTTTGGAACAATAGCGGACACCAATGAGCAAACCTTTTTAGAAGATATGGAAGCCATTACAACACCGAATATGATACCATCCCAAATGAGAATAGCACCTCTAAAATAATCCCTTGGAGGGGTGATTGTGTATTCCCTTCTCTCTCCAGATCTGAGTGTGTCCACAATTGTCAGACTTTTAATTGGCTGTCATCCCTAAAAAGTACTCGACCCCATTCCCATTGTATCCAATTCTTGTGTTTTCGGTATCACAGAAACAGCATCTTCAATGAGCAGGCAGTAATGGCACACACCATAATGGTCATTGTGCATATCAACCATGATTGTACAGCCTCCTGACCGTGGTAAAATGTATATTGGACATCCAGTAGTCTGCTGCATGTGCCTTACGATATCTTCTGTTATTTGTCACGTGCTTTCTCTCACCTGTAGAAAAGTGTTCTAGTCATATGCTGCTGTTGTTCATGAATGACCATTGCTAAAAGCTTGGACAGCCAATGAAATGCTTTTGAGGCTTGTGAAATGATACTTAGAGTAGTCCTGAATTCTTCCACCACAACTGTCATACTTCAGTTGTCTTCCAACTTCCTAATGATACAACCTTTGGTATAGTCATCCAGATGACTTCTGGATTGCATGTTGACCATATCACACAGTAGTAGCAACTTGATGTTGTTGAAATCACTGTACACCAGGCAATAGCTTTCACCAAATTGCTGAGCATACTCTGCCCATTTGCTTTTATAATTTTTCAATATCCCCCCATGTCATAAGCCATATATGCACATGCCCTACTGTATAGGTCCCAAGTCTTTCTCCTGATTATTCTTTTAGTCCATTCTGTTGTCTAGTTTCACTTTTATGCTAATTTCTTCACCTCATCTTTAATTTTTGCACTCAAGTTTATTTATATATTATGAATTAAACAAACACTTATTTGTTTTGAATTAAAAGATAAATTTTATAAAACATCCTTTTAATCTTAAAATTAATCTTGATTTGCGTAACCTAGAAAAATTCACTTTTCAAATTTTCTTTATCTCTTTAATTAATTAAACCTAAGTATCTATTAATTTCAAAATAAATAATAAGAAAGCTGTCATTTGTTACGTTATGTCATATTCTTTAATTCATATCTATCTGTATGGTTTGTATGATGAAATTAAGTATACATAATTAATGCCTTGTAAAGCTATAGTCCTGCCATTTTGGGCTAAGTGATAAAGCTGCTGAACATTGGTAGTTTGGTCAGGGGTTCGAATCCCACAAACGGGCTGGCTGCATGGGTGTTTTCATGGTTTTCTCCATGTGTAATGTGTATACAAGCCAGTTCCAATAGAAAGTCCTCCACGAAGGCATCCCTTCCGTTAGGCATAGATAGCCCTCGAGGCTTGGCCATGATCATGTAAACTAACCAAACCTTCTGCCTTTTTACAATAAAGAAATAAATTAATTAATTAAAGGTTCTTTCAGATTATCTGGACTCCACCAAAAAGTATTCATGAGGGAACGCACTAGTAATCACCATAACATCATTCAAATGTATTTTGTGACAACCCAGCTGTGTGTGCAGATTTTCATTTTCAAATTCAATGATAATTTTTTCGGATTAGTACCTGCATTTGCATTCAGTTTATTATTTTTTTCCTTGGAAAGAATTGTAATAGGACTGCAGTATTTGCTGGCTTATGAAAAAGGAAGCATGACATTTCTTTAGAAATGGATTTGCTATGTCAATCAGCTCAGTAGTAGAGAATGTAGAAATTCACATTCCTTGAAGTTGTACTTCTTAAATGATAAAATTTAATGAATCAAAATTTGTGCACAATCCTATATTTGTGCAATTCTCTGAGGTATTTAAGTGAAAACAAATTGGTGTTCACATGGGAAGATTAACAAGGAAAAAAAAAGGTGTAAGGATTTCTTGGAAAAGGTAAATGTATTATTACATGTGTTTCTTGCTTTTTTAATTTTACTAATTTGTTGCTGTTTTATTAAATTCTTAATGTGCTGTCATTTTCAAAAGAGCTGTTGCTTTTTGCGTATTAGTTTAGCAAAAAATTAGCTACCCCAATAAGTTAGTGACTTTTTGAAGGAGGTGCAAATAATCAGGGAGGAAAAAAAATTGATATTATTTTTGCTTTTCTTTATAATTATCATTTTTGAATAGTTTATTATTTTGATATTTTATAGTAGTGTAATTAATGTTGTGCTCTTCTGTAGAATTCTATGGAAATAGAAGCTGTTTCTGTTGGTGCAATTTTTTCTGATTATCAAAGACTTCGAGTTGAAAATGTGTAAGCTGTTATCTTTCAACATTTGAGTGAAAAATGACTAATGAATTTTATTTGCAAAATACTTCATATTTTCTGTGTTCACTTATGATTCGTGCATACCCCCCCAAAAAATGTAAGCAATATTTTATTTTAATGTTAGTTTATCTGAGCAGGACTTTTTGGGCCTTGTTCTACTAATATGAATATGAGAAACACATATGTATGTAAGAAACAAATATATATGCTTGCTAGTATAAATCTCAAGAAGTCACAGATAGAATCTAATAAAATGCATATTAAAAAAATATTTAAAAATTGCAGAGAGTCCACATATAAGTTATAATTATTTGTTAATTGCTAAAATATAATCTGAATTTTTTATATACTATAAAAGTAAATTTTTAATCCAAAAGATACTTTTTATGTATTTATTTATAAACTATTACAAATTTATTAATGCATTAAACAGGGTTTCTTAAACTGTGGGTCGTGCCACCTGCAGAAGTGGGTCGCCAAAAATTTTAGCAGTTTTTATATTTCTTTAACTTATTATGATAACTTTACAAGTACCAAAAATTTTTTCACAATGTATCTGAAAATAGGTAAAGGCAATACAGACAAAGAAAAAACAAAAACATTTCGACGCATTCTTTTTATAGTATAAACGTTCATTTTCCTTGCTTTGCATGTGACGCTGTCATTTCATCTGTTACTTTTTAAATTAAAATTTTCACATTGTTCTATGCCTTAAAATTAGAAAATAAAGTTAATAACCTAAAACTGCAATAATATATTACAGTACAAGTGAAAAACTGACAGTTTCACTCACACATGTGTCGGATTTGCGCAATACTTATGGGGTCCGGGGGGTCGCGAAAAAATCTCAGTGATAAAAAGGGATCGCGACTGAAAAAGTTTAAGAAATGCTGCATTAAAGTAAGTGAAACTAATGAAGTACTCTTTCTATTAATTAGAAACTGTATAAAGCCATGAACCGTAAGTACTGTAAGTATATCTGATGCAAAATGAGACCATGTACTGCTGTCTAAGGTATGGTTGGCCATTCTATAAATAGGTTTCTTCATATGCTTACATATTTGTTTTTATTTTTATTATATAAAATGAGCCACACCAGTAAGCTTTGGGAGCTTTGCTTGGAAAGGGTTTTGGTTGAAAAGTATTGGTTATAATCTTCAGTTGTCTAGTTATGTCATTTCCATTTGATGTATATTGGTTTAAAAAAATTATGAGCATTCAAGGAGGATATGTATTGTTGAAAATTTGAATTATTTAAAAAATTTGAGTTCTATTTATTGTCTCACTAGATGACATAAAGTTTAAAATTCAAATTTAGGCACTATATTATTTGTAGGTTACTTGTAGAATTTTATCAATTGGTTTCTGCATTATTGTTCTAATGTGGTTTATATTATTAATATCTGTATCTGTAGCAATCAGTTTATAAATTAAAATTGATATGAAGTTATATTTAAGACATTTACATATTCTCAGAATTTCACTGAAAATGTATAGTATTATTAAATAATGAAATTTTTAAGCATGACAGAATTCCAGTTTAGCATGTCTCCGTGAATGTATTTTGAATTGAAATTCACCTTTTTATTAAAACTGTGGAAGTAAAGTTTCTATCAGAACCTATAAATAAAATTTTTAAATTTTCCCATGGATATTTGCTTCTTTATGATATTTATTAAGGTTAGGGTACTTTGTCTTCTGTAACTACTTTGGCGAGAAAGTGAATGGCTTTGGTGCAATTAGAGCTTAAAGTACAATTTGCCAAAGTAAACATTCACAAAAATGAAATTGACTATTGTAAGCAATAAATCAGCAATTCATTCATTATCTGTATAAATATTCAGCCATTTTAAACCAACAACAGTACATATGTGCAAAGTATTATTTAAAAAGTTTTGTGAAGTTTTTCATCTTTAAATTTAATATCATGAATTTTATGTAATCTATGAAAATTTATAAAAGTCTTGCCCGTTCTGTTTCAGTTGTAAAAGACTAAATCTTCAAATGCTTGCATATTTATGGCACAGGGACCAGAAGGAGTTACTGAATGAAATGATTGAATCTGGAATTCATGCTATTATAATTAAAGTTGCTGCTTTAGGTGATTTGTTATATATACATTACCTTTTATAAGATATATACCTTTTTTTTTGGCTGTAATTTGTTTGGAAGTAAGAATTTTTCCTATAAATTAGGAACGAGTATGTAAAAATTTTGATAGCGTAAAATGTCATTTTCATCTACAAATCAAAATGTTGCATTTTATTTCCAAAGACACGTATTAAAATATGTGATTCACACAAAATGTGTGGTTGCATACAGTTAAAAAACTATGTATATTAATACTATAAGTTTTAAAAACTTAAGACAAATCTTATGAACGTCATAGATTTTTGTTTAAGAAATTTTAGGGCTTCTAATGAAACATTTTCAATGAAAAATCATTTATCAATTGGAATTTTTGCCATTTTTATGTGCACCTCATTTGAGTAATTTATTTTTGTTGAAATCAAATTTAATATTTTCAGTTACATGCATAATATTGTAATTTCTCTCTTAATAAAACTGCAGTTTTAAAGTGCTTTAAATAAAAATCCACTTTCAGAATTACCACTATAAAGTGAAATTGATGTTTCTCTGTTAGGATTGGATCCAAAGAAGCATTTAGGGATGTCTTTGGAAGATATTCGCCCTCATATGATTGCTTTGGTATAATTTATTTTTATGTAAAAATTTTAGATAGATGTAGAATTTGATGTAAAATTTTAGAAAGTTAACTTTATGTTTTAAGATGTGTGTACTTTGTATAATTTTTATAAACAGCAGATATGTATTAATGACGAAAAATAACCTGTAATATTAACTTTCGTTTATTTTCATACATACGTGCTGCATTTTCCATTTTCCAATTGAAATAATTCATGTGCTTTTTCTATTTTCATCCGTTAGTCACTTTGCACAAAATCTTTCAGTTAATTAAATTAAAATATTATCAAATAATTAGCAGTAAACTACAATACACAAAAGCACTTAATCTCATTCAGTACCGAAAAAAAAAAAATATTGTAGTAGCAAAAAACTTAAGCATCATTTCAGGGCTTAATAATTTAATATGGTTATTGAATTTTAGCTACAGTTAAACTAATTTCACTGTAGAATTGTATGCAATAACATTTTTATAAAAAAGCAAACTTAACCTAATTACCATTCTTATTATGCATAACTATTATAGAAAAGCTGCCCTTTTGAATAGTTTCAAGAAAGCTTGCAAATGTTTTTATTGCTGAAAATTATTTATTCTCAAAAATATTCTGTGAGGTGAAATTCAGGATTTTTTCCATTCTCTCTGATAATATATAGTTTCTTATTATGTTTTCAGTGTTCATTCTAGTGTAGTTAAAGAATATTCCATTCATATTAGATGCACTTCTGTCAGAATTTCATGGCAATAACTCAGTGTCAAATAAAACAAAATCATAGCTTGTTTATTAACTTGTTATTTAGTCTATACATAATATTACCATTCCATTTTGTTGACACACAAACTACTGGATGCACATATTCACTCTTTGATTCAATGATTAATCCTAGTACTAAAAGCTCGTCTATTTGTTGATCAACTTCATTATTTTAGAACTTCAGGTATCCATATGGCTTTTGCTTCTTTAGCACACTTCCAGGCTTTAGTTTGATGTTATGTTCTCCAATATTGGCAATTTTTAGAGTACCATATTTTAGATTTGTATGCTTTCTTAAAATTTCCAAGAGTTCTTTTCTGTTATGCGGTTCAAGAAGACCACATTATTCATCGGAATAGTATTCTGCTTTCAGTGGAACAATTCTTGGAATGTTTTCAACTTCTCCAGCATCTATGTCTGTATCATATATCACACCGATATTATTCACAGCAGTCTTGAACTCTTGTATCTTGCTTGCATGAATGTGCTTTGAAGAATTGTCAGCCATTTACACTATGTAACTATAATTAGTATGCTCTTTGATAATCATAGCAGGTCCAGTCCATTGGCACAAACTTTGTTTTCACAGTCAGAGATTGACTATAACCCCGCCACCTTCCTTAAATTCTTTATGATGAGCCATCTGGTTATGGTAGAATGCATAAGCTTCTTGATTTCCAACAGTAAGTCATGTATTCAGCAGCTTTTGCTAACTTTATCTTCAAATCATTCAGGAGTTTCAGCAGTCTATGACATCTTCAAGATAGACAAAGAGCCATTGGGACATCTTCCATAAAGCATCTAGAAACGGCTAACACTAGTTGTAGCATTAGGGACTTCTTGGTAGGACCAAAGTAAGTATGGTAGGTGTTTCTCCCAGTCTTTCTAATATTCTCTGATGGTATTATGTATCATTCCGTTTAAAAACGGCATTAAATCTTTCTACAAGGCCATTTGAATTTGGATGGTTAAGAGTCAAGAACCTTGGTGACGATCTGATCCTTTTAAAAAAATTTTAAGTCAATGAAGCAACAACCTGGAGGGATTCCAGTACTACAGATCTGCAACAATGCATCGCATGTTGATCTGGCATTAAGATTCTTCAGCTGTCTTGTACATTGATCAACAGCACACAGAAACATTTCATTTATAATTTTTTTATAAACTCGACAGCTTGGTTCTAGAGGTCCGAAGATATCTGCATTAATTACCTGGAATGGTTTGTTAGGATGTGTTACTGCCATAATCGGAACTTCTTCAAAGGGATGCTTTTTAGCTTGAAGTTGACAAGAAGTACAATTGTTAACAATATTCATTCACATCTTTCCTGATTTCAGCCCAATAGAAGGAGTATCTCAATCGTTCAGCTGTGTTCTTAGTTCGTAGGTGACCTCCCCATAAGCTATAATCAGCTAAGTCCAAAATTTTTTCTCTTCGTTCTTTAGGAACAACTAATTGAACTCTTTCTCCTAAAATTTTATCTTTATGATACAAAAGTTGTTAATAACAATAAAGTTATTACTTCCATTCTTAGCATCTTGCCAGCATGTTTTTAAAATGGATCATTCATTTGCTGAACTCGAAACAGCATAAGAAGGCATTTCAACCAAACTATCATTTGTAACGTCTACATTTTTGCATTCAGAATTAAACTTTGTTTATCATCACCATTTAACTCATAAAAGCACTTATATAAAGTAAATCATTACATAACTTATCAACCATTGCAAATGTTATAAAAATAGATGACTTAAATTTATCATCTTCAGAATACTTTGATAGAGATAAGTTAATGAGAGGAGCCTTTAAAGATTGTCTGAAAGCTGCTGTGAGGATAACACTTCCATGTTGCGTACAGTATCTTTTTGGTAGAATATCAGTCTTAACAGCAGTTTATTGGGTGCCTGCATCTGCTACTGCATTAATTAATTTAACATCATAAATAAGTTTAACAGTTGGCATGTCATCGATTAATTTCCTACCTTCGTGATTCACATTAAAATATTTAGAAGACAGCTTTGCTGTTATGACATTAGAATTATTCTTAATTTCTTCCTTATCAACCTTTTTCTTACCTTCATGCTACAATATGTTATGATGATTAGAATTACATTTTGATTGAGAAGGGCAATTTTTTGTTATACAGTTACTTTCAAAACCAAGAAAGCACCGATTAGAATATTTAAAATTCTTTTTTTCTTTCTTCCCAGGACATAATCCTTTCTTCTGAAACATGATCTTCACTTCCACAAAATAAACAAGAAAAAGTTGAAACAGCTGCAATTTTGTTTACATTATGAGGAAAAGGATGACTAATTGGTTTAATGTTGAAAGGAGTATGAGGGGTGGACTCTGGTGTTTCATTAAATGGGATAAAGTGTTTTTCCGTATTCCCATAACTCTTAGAGTAAGATAAAATTAACAAAATTTGTTTGCAATTTCCCGTTTTAGAAATTTCATGTAGTTTTTGACATTAAAATTTTCATCTTCTTTCTGATGAGCAAAATCAAGTGTTATATCCTTAGGAATACATTTCATAAATAAAGGATAAAGTAAACGTCCGTATGATCCAGTTTTGATTCTTATTGAATTTAACGACCTTCATTGTATGTTACGGGTGTCATATAATTCTCTCAAAGCATGAATATCATTCGAACTTCAGAAAAGTCATAAATTTAACAGTTTATGCATATACAAATTAATAAAGAGATTTTTTCGTCCGTATCTTTCTTTAAGAATTTTAAGTGCTTTGCCATAATTTTTGGCGATAGTGAAAATCCTTTTATCATTTTTAAAGTTGCAGTGCCTAACAGGCTAAACCAGTAATTAAATTTATCAACTTTGGATAACTTTTTGTTCTGATTTATTGCCATCTAGAAAGTATTGTAAAATGTCCGCCACTCTTCAGCATTTCCATAAAATTTATCAATCGTAATTTTTGGCGATTTAACATTGTAATCAGAAATTTTATTAACACCAGAAATAATAGATAAATTACTACGAGGGCTATCCAGAAAGTAGATTACGTTTGGAATAAAAAAATAAACAAAGTATAGGAAACAAATTTTATTATATACAGATGAAAGCCACACTCAAATACTACTTTTCTACATAGTCACCATACAAATTAAGGCATTTATCGTAGCGATGTACGAGCTTGGAAATTCCTTCGTCGAAAAATTCGGCCGCCTGCGCCTTCAACCACTTCGTTACCTCTTCTTGCAGCTGTGCGTCGTCATCAAAACGCATTGATTGCAATTTCGTTTCACAGTTCACATGTTTCACCCATGTTTCGTCACCAGTAACGATGTGATCGAGTAAAGAGTCACCATCCTTATGGTAAGCGTCCAAAAAGTTCAACGCTGCAGCCATTCGCTGATTTTGTGGTCCTCTGTCAAGATTTTTGGAATCCATCTTGCACAAAACTTGTGGTAACCAAGCTTTTCGCTGATGATTTCGTGCAACAAACTTCGCGAAATTTTGTAGAAAACTCAAAGAAAGTTCCGTTATTGTGAAATTTCGATTTTTCACGGACTTTAGCATCGACTTTTTCGAGAAGTTCGGCGGTCACTATGCTGGGTCTCCCACTTCGATCTTCGTCGTGAACATTGGTTTCGGCCATTTTGAAATCTTATGACCCACTGACGCACTCCACCTTCAGTGATAATGTTGTCCCCATACACTTCACGAAGCTGCCGATAGATTTCTATCGGTTTACAGTTTTTTTGCAGTCAGAAACCTTATTATTACTGAGCGCACCTCGCAGCTCGCGGGATTTTCAATTAACGCAGACATTTCAAACCGTCACAGTATCTGAACGGAGCACAGCACGAACCTCTCACTAGCACGGCTAGATGCAGACTGAGCTGCGCAACGCTCTGACCCCAAAGATGGCCGCGCTAGCCCCGCCCCTAGCGGACACAGACGGAAACGTAATCTACTTCCTGGATGGCCCTCGTATTATCATGAGAAGAACCATTAGAAACTACTGAATTATTGACATTTCCTTTTTCTTTCAATAATTTTGTGCCTCTAAAATTCCATTTTGCAATCTTTTCTTCATATTCCAAGGCACTTTCGATTTCAGTGTCATTAAAAACAGTTAAAATTTTGACTTTTTTTCATCTAACTCTTTCAAAGAAACTGCTTTTACTTTTAAAATCTCCAGTGTTTCTTCTAATTCTTCAATGTTACCAGAAGCAATTAAGAATTCAATAGAATTTGCTACTTTGGTAATGGCTGAACAAATAA